ATCACCAACAGAGTCAGAATTATTCCAACATCAGTTTGATCAACTAGCAGCTCACAAAATAGGACTCATTACCCCCCAAATAAGGAACCTGCCTAATGTGTAGTAATATAATTTATAAAGGAACTCCTTAAAAGAGTTCAGAAGTAAATGCAATTCTAATAGGAAAGCACATTAACTACTTTATGCCTGGGTTTATATAATTAACAACTGTAAAACACTGAAATATTCAGGCTATTTTCTATACATTTCCAACAACCAGATGTTTGGAACTATGTATACAAAACATTTAGATGATTGAAAACATAAGCATCTGTCATGATATTTGTCATGGTGTGAACACAGCTTCTGCTGAGGAGTATATTTTTGGTACTGCTTCACTCGTCTCCCTATAAAGTAGGTAATCTAGATGATTAAAAGAGGAAAAAAAAACACTTTCAAGAAAATCCATGTCATACTCAAGATATATTCATTCTTGAACATTTTTATTCAGATTATTTTGTTGTCTGTACTTAAAAGGGACCTTAAGCTCACTAGCTATAAGAATGTTCCATTTTGAAGTCGAGAGTGGAAAAAACGGATCTGTTTGTGACCCTAGAATTGTTGCTTCATCCTGCCCCCATTAATGACTGCACTGCCTTTATTTACTTTGCCAACCTCTGTCTCACACATGCATTCCTCCATCCTAAACAGTGGAACCCCTCACTCTTGCTGCTGTCTTCACTCTAAGAATGTACATATAGTCTACCACCATGGCTAAGAGTTCAGGCCAAGTGGCTTTATTCAAGATACAATCTCACAGTACCTTCATTTATTCACCAGTGAAATGAGGGTAATAGGATCTGGCTCATAGCATTACAGGAAGGTCAATGGAAGGTGACTAACAAAGTGCCTGGCACATACGAGGCAAAATAGTTAATGGTTTTAAGTGGTTCCTGAAGTATAGAGTTAAATGTTGTAGTTCTTTCTTATTTCAAGTAGTTGTGAACCCAGTCCCCCTCTGCCCACAACTACCACTTTACTCGCCTCACTGAGCTCAGTTCCACACCTACTGACCCAAATTGCTTACTTAGTCCATCCTGTATCTCCCACAGCAGTTTTGGTTTATGCCATAGATTTTTGCATTTAATTATATTTTATCATAAGTTAATGCAGACATGACGTTGCTTTCCAAATTAGATTGCAGTTTGGAATTTGGATATACTTTTCCATATTATCCCGTCTTCTAAAAGTATCTTAATTTGTGCCTTTATTCCTCTACTCAACACATATTTGTATTTATTGGCCATTATGCATAGGCCTCTGGGATATACAGAAGTAACCAAATAGAGACTCTGAATCTTACTTTCAGCAGGGAGAGAAAGAAAATAATCAAGTAAATAGAAAAGATGTTTCATGAGAGTGTGGAGAACAGTTTTTGCTACTTAATACATTAGATAATTAAGTAAAAGAAACTAAGGAAGATAGGGAACAAATTATGCAGAAGTCTGAGGGAAGAGATTTCCAAGTGGAAGTAACATAAAAAGCTAACTTCCTGAGGCAAGAACATGCTGACTTGTTGGAAGCACGTCTAGAGGACCACTGTCTGGAGCTGAGCAAGGAGTGGTGCCAGTGCCAGCAGAAAAGCATCAAGGGAACAGGTTACATAGGACCAGTGGTCACTATCGGGAATTGAGTGTTCGTTATGAGTGAAATAGGAAGGCTTGGAGTTGATAATCTGATTAAACTCTAAAAAGTTTATTCTGCACTTGGTGGGGAGAATGGACCTGTCTACCAGCATCAAGGGCAGAGGTTAGAGAATCTCTGGCAATTATTCTACAATAACCCAATTATAACAACAATTTAACTATTATATATTCACTTCCTGTTCTGCATGATGGTTATTCATGAATATACTTTGTCTCCCTTGCTAACTTATAAATTCCATATGGGTCAGGATTACAAGAGATTTATATTTTTAGACATTAGAATACTTAAACTAAGAAAAAAGTTTTTGGTGCCCAAAGAGTTCAAAGCTGAATTATCACTGCTTCCCATCCTTTTTTTCTCCCCACCCCCATACCCTAATACCTTCCTTCTTCCCAGGATTCCTTCTTAATACAGATATACATATCAGACAGTGTCTCTTTATATTGTAAAGGAAGAAAAAATAGGGTGAATGTAGAGGTAAGAGAGATAGAAAACATACTGTTTATTCTCAAGGAATCGCATGTGTGTGTTTGGCCTGTTTGATATATTTTTATATAATCGCCTCATAGTTAACCTTACAACTACCTATACTCTATATAAGTATCTTATGATTTTTATAAAACAGAAATCCATGACTCAGCCTTACTATTTCCAATTTGTAAAATTCCATATATGGTAATTTGAGTTACTTAAGTTTTAACTCAGTAGTGTACTTTGAGAATAATTCTACAGCAATCCAAGGAAGTAATACGATTAAAAAAAAACCAAATGATTTCTTTTTTCTTAGTCTCATTCAAGGGTCTTTCTAATGTATATCTTTAAAAGCTTTGGGTTGGGACCAATAACAATTATGAAATATAATTCTCTAAGCCAAGGAGATATAAAGGGCTTTTTTCATTTTTTCAGTGCAGAAGTTAACTTCTTTTCTTCTGTGACGGCCCCTGACATGCCGGAACAGAGGAATAGTGCTTATGATAAGACCAGGAGTTATAATTCAGATTGGATCGATGAAAGCTCTAGTGTCTAAGGCTAGCTAATCTCAGTGGTCCTCTGATACCCCCCAAATAAAGGTAAAGTTGCTGCCGTCTCTAGGAAAAGGGAAATGGCAGGCAGAGTGTTCAGAATCAGACTTTCATGGTAAAATACCCATTAACAATTAATTTTCTGCTTCCCGTGGAATAGGACAGGTTAAGTAGTTGGTCACATTCGGTAAATAAGAAATTACTTGCAGTAATTTCTGCAACATTCTAATCATCTTCCCATTTCTGAAACCTATTTTAAAAGTCTTTGATCTACATTATGGTAGAAAGGATACTGAATGTAGAAATATAAGACTGGACTATAAATTCAACTTTGCCACTCGCTAATAATGTGGCTTGGGCAAGTCACATAACCTAAACATTCCAGCTATTTTCTAGTGATGAATTTTCTAGTGATTTCATGGCAGTCAGTAGCCCACAGAGTTGTTATGAGCACCGGATAGGATAATGTGTGAAGGTCATGAATGCAGAGGTCACACAATAAACACTTGATGAATCTAGATAGTAAATACAAACAGTGGAATTATCACAGTCCTCGCAGTGGAATTTCAGTGTTCCATCCTATAACAGGACAAATGTGATCTTGTGAAATGGGAAATATGTCTCATCTATGTTGTTCCTTCATCATATTAAGAATAACAATACACTATCATTGTTCAATTTTATCATTAAAGTGGGTTTTATTTTCTTCATTAAATATATAAGGAAAAGCTTTTCAATTAACAATGACCTTTATCACTTCTACTAGTTTAGATTCTGTAGATGGCGAAACTGACTGCAAATTAGATTCTGCAATGTACCTTGTTTCTTATTTTTTCACCCACTGATTAGTTTCATACAGTTGGCAGCAGCCTACCCTGTTGAATTCAGCTAGCAATTTTGTAGCAATCTCAAACACTGTGTTCAATCCCCCAAGGTGTTCTGTGGAAATGCTGTCAAACTATTTCGATGTATGTGTATTTTCATTCTGTAGCTGTGCTTTGTACTCATTTGAGAGAACCAGTCTTTAATTTGTATCAGAACATTTCCAAGATGAAACATAGAATTCCAGGCCTCAGCAAAATCACTGACATATGACCACAGCCTTCTGTTTAAATCTTGATGTGCCAGACTTCTATTAGATCCAAAGCTATAATATATTTTTGAATCTCGTTGTAAAATACAACTTTGAATAAATGACTTCTAATTTGACCTTCACATCTACTAATTGTCATCATGGTTGCCATCATCATCTGGCTCCAGTTTACTTCCCAGTTTCATCGCTCATCCTCCCCTATATCCATGCGTTTTTGCTCTTCCTTGAACTGCCTGATGCTCTCTCTCACCTTTTCTTGGTGTTGTCCACATATAGCAACTCGGTCTAGAATGTTATGTCTTCTACACCTCACCTCTTTATCTCAGGCATTTTCCATTCCAGAAGCCTTTTTCTGTACCCCAACAACCTTTCTGAGTCAAGTAACCCTCTTTTGTCTCTCATGAACCTTTAGCCTGATTTAATACAAATAGTTTTCTTAATGTATAGTAGTAAGTACATTGTTTGGTTGTCTTCCCTACTAGGCTAGTTTTGGAGAGCAAGGACAATACTTTTTTGAATCTATAAATAGATTCTTCATAAATGTTTATTACGTAAATGAATGCTTCCTGGAAAAACTCTTGGTCAGTTTATTGAAAAGGCAGTGAGAATTTGCTACTACAAGTATTATATTAAAATAGCTCCATTTAATTACCACAGCAATATTATCAGTAAAATGCAATTTACAGTTTCAGTGTACTGGCTTACCACTCTGCAAATGCAGGCAATTTAAAAAATAAACACATATAGGATACTATTCTATGCTTTCTGCATCTGGTACATTATATTCAGAATTGGGTTAGGTTGAACCGGGCTGACTCAGAGACCTTTCTTACATCTTCTAATTTCAAAGAAAGAAATGTGTTTTAATGTTTAAAATTATTTGAACTCATTTAACCTTTTTTAAATTGACTTGTCGTCTGAACAGAATGAAAAGGGATTTTGACTGGGTTTGAATTAAAGTGCACATACATACACACACTTAAAAACAAAACAAAACAAAACCGTTGGGAGATATTGTTTCACGTTTGTATTGGGAATGGAAGACGTACCAGTGTGTTCATGTTTCCTGTGTTTATTTATGTCTGATGTTTCCATTTGATGCAGTGCTCTAATTCAGCATATGGAAATACAGTCAGAACAAAGATAATATCTCTCATTTTCATTGTGATTTATAGTGTCCCGTCTCTGGTCATTCCTAGGTGTTATTTGGAAGATGGAGCTTCAAAGGGTGCCTGGCTGAACCGGTCAAGTATTATTTTTGCGGGAGGTGATAAGTGGTCCGTGGATCCTCGAGTTTCAATTTCAACATTGAATAAAAGGGACTACAGCCTCCAGATACAGAACGTGGACGTAACAGACGATGGCCCGTACACGTGTTCTGTTCAGACTCAGCATACACCGAGGACAATGCAGGTGCATCTCACTGTGCAAGGTACGCATTACCATAACTGCTGTATTGTGAAGGACTGTGCTTTGAAATGTTCAATATTAAATATCAAAATGTCCCAGAAGTACCTGACAATGTTGAAAGATACGTTGTCATTGTCTTCAGGGATTTATGTTCCTAGCTTCCACTAAGCGTAATGGCTATTATAGTCATACAAATCCCCACTTACCAAGATAAAAAATTATCTATTAACACCACATTATGATTTTTTTTTGTCTATGATTCACTTTGTATCTTCCTTTGAGTCACCCTTTCAATAAATCTTTGAGAATCCATGATTGATACATTAAAATAAATATTTGATAACCCATGATGGATACATTAAAATATTAGAACTTTTTGAAATATGGATAGTAACTCTTTAAAAATAATCCTCCAGCTCTCCAACACTCTCTTTCCATTCAACTTCGGTTTACTTTGATTTGAGTCACAATGAAAAGAAGCAGCTTTCTAGAAATACTTTATATAATATAGAGTAATTGAAAAAATATGGTACACAATGCTTTATGCTTTGATGTACTTATAGTAGATCATAAATCATGCTAACTAACTTACAGTCTCTAAATACAAACAGAATCATCAAATTATATTATTTTTCTTGCACACTAAAATGTAAGAGCATATTTATCCTGAACACAAATACTTTTCAAGAAAAATGCAATTATAATGCTAATAGAATGGAAAATGTATATTTTTACCCGTGCGTTTTAGATTAATCATGTGTTGGTGGCATAGAAATATGCTGTAGAACTCAAAATGACATTGTAGCATTTCTAAGTAAAATTAATAACAAATTATATGATAATGTGGTGCCAAGGAATACATGTTTTATGTCTAACAAGAATGTTGAGTAAGCAAGTTATTTGTATTATCTCTGAGTTTGCGCTTCAAATAATTAACACTAAGTATTAATTTAGGTACATGGCTTACATCTAGAAAAGATTGTTAATCTATAAGTTTATTAACTGAGCTTTATTTCCTTACGTAAAGGTAAACCTGAATTCAATCACAGCTTCGATTACAAATACACATTTTAACTTCGTGATAAAGGTTAAACTTATTAATTAAACAATTAACTCAAAGGAGAAAAGTATATAAATTGAAGAATGAATCAATGAGTTTCCTCAATGGTTTTTTCTTATTACAGATCATTGCAAGCTATATAATGTCCCTTCTTTAAAAGCATATGAGACTATGGCAATTTTAACCAAAGTCCATCTTTATTCAGAAATTATCCAGAGATTCCAGAGGTCAGGAGCCTGTCCATCTTCAAAAACTGACACGAGACTACAAATCACCAACACATTTCTCCTGTTATCCAGGCCTAATCCTGTTTTCTTGTTTAGTTCAGTGCCCTTTGAATTGAGTTTCTAGCTCAGAGACTACAAAAGATTTTTATTACATGAGGAAAAGTATGCTAGAACAATAGTATATTTGAGTGGCTTGACATACAGTCTTTTTGCTTCTTATAGGTTTAAATAATGTATTCTGGACACTAAATATATGCCTCTTTCCTTTTTTTCATTGCCTCTTATTCCATGTTAGGCCTATATTTTTAAAGCAGACTATGGATATATATCATCAGGCATGTATTTAATTTCCATAGGCTTTCTTTATAGCTTTAATTACATAGATTGATACTCATATTTTTAAAGCTATTACATGCCTTACTCTGGCTTTTTTTTTTTTCCTGGTCATTTGATGATGGTGAACTTTTGAGCACCATTTCAGGAAGTCCATTTTAGAAATGCACTTCTTGAATGTTTTATCAGTATAATATTCTGTTCCTCCAGAAAAAGAAAATGTGTCTTACTCTTTTGAAAGTATATGGTTGGGTCAAATTTAAAAGCTAATAATTTTAGTGTATTTACGAACATAATTACTTACTAGAATTTGATTGACATGTGAGCAGTTTTCCAATTACGTTAATAAAGTTCAGGGAATACATTAATAGGCTTGTCAGTCAATTCAAGAACTAAATAAATGTCATAAAAAGTCAACCCCACTTAAGCTACATTTCCTCTCAATGAATGAAAATAAACTGATGTGCTCATCTTTTCAGTCTCTAAATTTGTTGGGTTGTCTGATGCTCAGGTGTATTTGAATAGTTTTGTTCTTTGCCCAACAATTTGTTAAGTCTTTATTCACCAAGATAAAGAAACTTAGCAAGTGAAAGAAGACTATTAATCACTGATGTCAAAAAAGCATTGGCTGGTGAAAACAAAGCTCATCTTTAATTGTTGCAACTATGTACTCAAGGGAGCTGCTTAAAAATGAAATCATTTGAGAAAGGGGGTAATAAAAGGGATATCTTGCTAATGCAGACATTGGTCATGGGAAATTTGTTGGTCCTATTGATTTCTTAGAGCTATTAATATCAATGAATGGCGCGATGAGGGAGAAAAAACAGTGGAGTGGGAGTTGGAAAACCTGGATTCCAATCCTGACTTTTTTCCTCATGAAATGGGTAAATATCAAGCCTCTCTAAACTCTTGTTTTCGGTTTTCTCATTTGAAAGATGAGAACTCAGACCAGAGGAACTTAAGGTTCATGCTAGTCAAAACCAAAAAGTCAGATGACAAAACACACAAACAAACTAAAAACATATTGTGATGATCTGCTTTTGATTTGAAAGGGAAAAAGTAATTTAAGATAAAAAAAATGAAAAAATATTCCACAGCGTTTCTATAATACTTGCAAACTGATCTTTTACACAGAAGCAGTTAGTATTCACTCTGTAAATATGCTTTATTAATCTCCATGTTTTTCTTTCACCAACTGAGCAGAATAATGTATGTCATAATGGAATTTGAAGAATGTGGTAAATTGGAGTTTTGCTTTGAGGGGGTGGAAATTAGCTAATAGATTCGGTGAAAAAATTACCTATATAAAATACAATGCTAATAAATCCAGTTACCTAATTGTTCAGTGTTTCAAATTGTGTGGTGCAGCATTTACTAAGAGCAGCCTTTCTTGTTCACAAGTATAAAAATGTGCAAAGCTAGACTACTTGTTATGAAGCCAGAGGTTTCTATTACAATACTGTAATGATAGGAAATATGAAATGTAAATGCTGTCCACTCAAATATGACAGGGATGGTTTCTACTTTAAGTTCATGTTTAAAGTCTAGGTTGTTTACAGCACAAAATAGATGCTGATAGATGTATGGCTAAATACTGGGTTGTCGGAAAAGTCAGGATGTATTTTTTCTCTGTTTTTCGTTGCAAAAATGCATCATGACTTTTCCCACAACTCAATATATACACAACCACCTCAGCCAACACCTTGATTGCGGCCTTGTGAGACTATGAACAGAGGACCCAGCTAAGATGTGCCTGGACAGAAACCGAGATACTAAATATCTGTTGTTTTACAGACTTTACACACACTTACACTCACACACACAATATAAGGAATATTTATCACCCAACTTGTACCCTTTCAGGGTGATATACTCTAGGTTTTCTCTAGGAAGAGTAGAAGGAGATTTCACTAGCACATCACTCTATGACTAAAATAACTTCTCAAGGGTATTTAACTTACCCAGGGTATTCTGATTTTCTCAGGGCCTGTGGCATACCTAGCATATTTGTGACAGATGGGGTACTACACTTCTCTTTCCAAGGATGGGCTTGTGGAGTGTCCTCAGCAGACAGCATTTAGTGCTCAGCTCTTTCAAAAATAGCCTTAGCTCTACAGAGATACCTTGCCCAAAAGTGAGCCTCTGCTGAGAGTAACCAACATGTGATGACTGATTGAGGCAGGAAGTAGAAATGCCTCCACCTTTCAGCCCAAGATAGGATAACTCTTGACGGCCCATTTGGCTCCAGAGCAGCTGAGGCTGTTGACCAGCATGCACTGAGGCTTAACTTTTTGCTCTGTTCAACCCTGTCTTCTTCTTCTTCCTTCTCCAGGGATTTATCAGAAGGATATCCCCTAATAAATATTCTGCACTGTAAACTCCATCTTCTTTCAGTGCCTGCTTCCCAAGATCCTAAACCATGACAATGTTAGATCCTTGCCTCTGGCTTACTCATTATTTTGAGAAAGCCTTTGTAAAGTGGAAAGACAACACATTCAAACACCATTTATTTTTAACATTCTGTTTTATATTGGAAGGCATTTAAAGTGGCTTCGAAAGAAGTATTTAGTGCACCAAGATAAATAGGAGAAATCCGAAGCAAACACACTATAAGGTAAGCAGAGGACGATGCAGTCAGAGGTGAAGTTAGAGCATAAATCCGTGACATGATTTGGATATACTTTTAGAGCTTGGTAAAAAATTTAGTTCTAAGATTTCTAGAAGCCAACGCAGAAAGAGAAACAGGATTAGTTATTCATTTCATGGTCCATAAGGTTAAAACTTATATTTCTTACTCTCCTGATCCTGTTTACTCAGAATGGAGAAGTATTGCTACTGAGTCATCTCAGAATATCACTGCGAGCTGTAAGAAACATCTCAACAGTGAGTGTATAGTCCTCACGGCACTCATAGGATTGTTTCTTATAATACCTTTCAATATAACAGGAAGTGCAAGGAACTTAAAGAAATTTTTAATTAAAAATCTAAAAATAAGTTTAACACGATGCTAGTTCAATAACAGTGAAGTAGCTTTTTAATTATTGCTTAATCTATGAGTAAATGTTCGAACCTAGCCTTCCTGCATCAAACCTCCACCAATATTATTTCTCTCAATAGGGCTTTGAATAGAAATGTATGTACAAATATTTCAAAGTTATACTTACCAAATGAATACCTGGGCAGCTGTCGTTTTATGTGGTCACAAATATAGAGTCATGTCCTTTAAAGACCAGCACATCTTAAACTAATGTTGACATCCTTTTGATGAATACTAAAGCCTTAACAAGATACATCCTGAAGAGGAAGACACCACATTTCTGCTCCAAATTGAGCGGATGGGCAGTAACACAGCATCACAAGACATAGGCCTCCCTTCCTCTAAAGACCTAAAGGGGAAAAAAG